CCATAATCATTAAACTTGTATCAGAGGTTAAACCTTTTCACTAGACACGCATCTGTTGATAACTCTCTCAGCAGCAACCCCTTTGCAGCTTTAGAACATATAAAACGTAATAAAAGTGTGGGCATGTGTGGTATGCACCCGAAGAGGCTAGCTCTCTTTCTTTTACTTTGAGCCGAGATCAGAACAGGACGCTAAAATTAGCGCTCCGTGCAATAGACGCATATGACGTAGGCAACAGACCCACTCACTCTTTAATACACCATTTTATTTCAAATTTTCATTCATCCTTTACAGACGCCGAAGAAAATTCCTTGATTTCGCACATTTTTTTTCAGGAAATATCCTCAAAACGTTCTCAGTACAAAACTTCCTCTACATAAATTGGTTCAATCTTTTGTGTGTCTATTTATCTCAACCAATTCAATACTTTAAGTTTTTGTTCTTCAACACACGGCACCTTCTCAACATCAAACGACGACTCCTTAACCAATATCAATATACTAAATATCCATCCATCCGGAAATTAAATAGATTTTCAATTTCAGGACGTGCGCTATAAAATGCGACAGAGGTGACCAACCAAATATTTTAACCTGATAGATCCGAGGAATATAAAGGTATCACATTGGCAATTGTGTCATCTCAGAGACAATTTAAAACTAACCAGACGATGGAGTAATGGATAGCTACTCGGATTGTGGAATCGGAAAGCCGAGTTCGAATTCCAGTCAATTCCTTTACATTCATTTACGTGCTAATACCGTTGGGAAAGGTATGAATCCTCTTCTTCTCCCCCCCAGCTATTAAAAAACAGCAGAACAGACGGGGTTCTATAGCCTTGGATGGCAACTGGTCTACTTCAGAAAGAAATTGCTACCTACTGCGGGAAAAATCTGCCTCAACAGTCATGTATCGAAAAATACATGATCGCCTGAGCTTGTATCACGCATGTCACATAACTGATTGACTGATATAAAAATTTGTGTAACATCTCTGCAGATTTTGCGAATCAATTTAGCTCTCATTTTATTTCTTTCCAAAATCTCAAGTATTACGAACAGTCTTATATTTCCTGAGAAAATTCTCTTTTGTTGCTATCTTCCTTGGTCTACGAATTTAATATTGGTGGAGGAGGCAATAGGGAAACAGTATTATTTTACAAGAAATCTTGGCAATTCAAAGATAATAAGGAAAAGGAAAAGTGGGCAATGATCGGTTATGAGACATCACATTAAAAAAAGAGTTAATAATGTAACGCTTTAGGATCCTAGCGGAAAGAGTCTACGAAGCTTTAGATAAGAATGTTTAAGCTCGGACTAATGATTTGGGCATCTCAAAAACTTTCGACGTAGTCTGGCATGTTGGTCTTCTTCACAAATTGAAAAGTTATGGTGACTCCGGACAAATTTTTGAATTGATTCAGTCTCTCCTATCTAATCGCGAAATAAAAGTTATCCTGAACGGCCACTTTTCCAGAAATTTGGATTTTTAAAGTAAATCGCTGATTTATTGTGCTTGGTATTAAGGCACTATAAATTGGGGGTTCGCTTAATACACAAACTCATCTCACAATCGACAAAGTAATGCAAAAGATGTTCTAGTGTTCGCTGTAATCTCCATTCTTATTAGTAAACAAGTTAAATCAAGAATGCACAAACAGTTCTGGAAATATTATATATATTTGGATAATTCCAGACAGAACACACACACACACACACACACACACACACACACACACACACACAAAAATACATTGTTTATTCCGTTTGTATTAACTTCGCCAGATTTATTTTTATTTACTTTTTTTTTTCAAATAGAACGTCATTTAAAAAAAAATTAAATGTTTTTCTTGCGAATCGTTATTGAAATATTAAATCTTTCTTTTCGAAGTGTTTAATTAACTTCCATGTAATAAATGAAGAAGATACTACCAAATAAAGTTGTTTATTGTAGCATTTACTTTAATATTCTAAAAGCATTTAATTAACTCTCAGAAAATAACCTGAGCTGCTATTTGCCAAACAACGTGGTAACGTTCATGCATACATAACACACTATACATGAATCATATACATACATACATATATATATATATATATATATATATATATATATATATATATATATATATATATATATATATATATATGCATGAACGTTATCAGGTTTGTGTTAAGATTGAAAAGCAATATATATATATATATATATATATATATATATATATATATATATATATATACCGTTTTTAATAGTACACGTTATCGGATATCTTAATTATCATTTGGTTGACTGGATGTGCACAATAGTGTATCATGCCAAGTGGTTTTGCACAGAATTAAACAACTGGAAGAGGTTTGGGTCATATCACTTCCTTCAATTTATGTGGAACATGGGCTACAAAGATTTTTTGAGTGACAATGAGTAAATGAAATTGCTAAAAGGCTTTATAAAGAAAAAGCGACTGCGAAAATTGCTTAAACTCTTGCAAGAGAAAACAAGACGGTTTATCTCGAACCGAGGCAGCATGCAGTGCACATATCAGCATAGGGAAGATTCTTCTTTATTGGTCACGTACTTGTCGAATAGGAGGTACTCGTTTGAAGATGTAGTTACCTTAGTAAGAGTAGGTAAAGAGGAGCAAAGTGTTATTTGCTGATATTGGGGCTCCAATTGTATCAATAGCTTCACAATGGGTCATCAGGAAGCGTGTAAGGACGGCCAGCAAACTTATGTGAATATTAGATCCAACCAACTTCAGAATATAATAAAGCATGTGCCTGAAGGAATAGAGTCTAAGTTATCCAGAAAGAAAGTATACGAGAAAAACTTAAAAGTGGAGGGTCACAAAACCAAACTAGAATTTAAAAACCAAATTAAAAAATCTATGAAGAACAATTCAAGGAAAAGAAAAGAATATCATTTGATTTAATCCCCCTTTTAACTTTTCAAACGCGTGCTGACATGGAAACGCACATCCACACAGTCAATATGGAAACACAAACAATACGGAAAAACTTGCACCAATGATAAGTGTATAAAAAAAACATAAGCATTAAATTGCTGATACCCCTTGAAGAGTAGAGGAACAGGTCCACCTACGAAACTCTGGAGTCGGATGCCGAAGGTGACATCAATCAGCTAAATGACGCAATTTTACTTAAAATAATCATTCATATATATATATATATATATATATATATATATATATATATATATATATATAAATTCACATTGAATAAGAAGGTATATATACATATATTTTACACATAAACAGACATGCATACACGCGCATATGTGTGTGTTTCATTTAACGCGACAGACAAGATACTGCAATTTAGCTTTTTTTTTATTTTTTTCTTCTGTTCGAACAAGTGTTTATCTGTGTGTGAGTTGGTGTTCATTAATGCTAAACGAGAGCTGGTAAAGTTCTTTCTTATATTCCGGTTCGGTCAAGGTGTTTTTTAGTGTATCATTATCTTTGTGTATTTCATTACTTAAATGCTGGATGTCTTTTTTAGGTGATTTTATTTGTTTTTTTTTTTTTTTCTGAATGTAGTGGCGTTACTTACTTTGTTGGCTGCTAGGTCCTGTAATTTGATAATTGTGTATTTAGGCAGTAAACCTTCACTTATACATGTTGCATTAAAGACGACAGACAAGGTAAGATTTTTATTTAATTTTTTTTTGTCTTCGAACAAGTGTTTATTTCTCTGTGGGCAAGTTGGTGTTCATTAATACTAAGGTTGAGGTGGTGCAGGTCTTTAAGGAAACATTCATAAATTAAGGATTGTTGCTTAAATACAGATATATATATATATATATATATATATATATATATATATATATATATATATATATATATATATATATATGTTTAGAATTTATGTTTTATTTATATAAACATGTGTAAAAGAAATTACGCTGGGAAATTCATATATTATATATATATATATTTATATTTATATAAACTTAGGTAATATATATATATGGGTAGACCTGAGGAGGATGATATCCAGAGAGCTCAATTTCTTTTTACATTTCAGTTTTGGAAGTAAAGTCTGATGATCCAGAACCCTGTTAAAGGGGTTATGGTGAAATAGCTAATTACATGGAATCTTAACGTGGTCTGTCTTTTATTCAAACAAAATATATATATATATATATATATATATATATATATATATATATATATATATATATATATATATATATATTTATATATATATATATATATATATATATATATATATATATATACAAACACACATACACACACACACATATATATTCTGTATTTAGGCAGGATCATTTAATTCATACATGTTTATGTAAAAACCAACATATTGTGTGTATTTTTGCGAAGGTAAATGCAACACCCCGGTACGGTGTTCTAATTCGTTACAACGATTTCTCATTCTCACGTATGTGCGTTTGTATTTTGCGTGTGCGTACGTGCGTATGTGCGTGTGCGTACGTGCGTATGCGTACGTGCGTATGTGCGTGTGCGTGCGTATGTGCGTGTACGCGCGTGTGTGTTATTTTCTTAGACAGCTGCTGTAATAAATATTGAAATTCTAAATTCAAGAAAGACCTCACTTTAGCGAAGATTTGTCTCCTTCGCGCTCAGCTAAATATTTAAATATTTCTTTCATACATTTCTTCTGGAACAAGGACGCAATTGTTGGACTGAAGGAACGAAGAAGATGATGAAGAAGGTGGTCAAGACTGGAAGAAGCAGATGAATAAGGGAGTGATCTAAAGGGATGAGGAAGGCAGGTTGAGGGAGAAGGAAAATATTATCAAGTAAAGAAGGGGGAGGGTTGAATAAGGTGAAAGTATGAGGAAGGGAAGAAGGAGATAAGAACATCAAGGTGTAAAGGAAGTAGGAGAGAAGCGGAACAATTAGAAGGTAATTAGATGCAGATGAAGCAGTATTTAAACAACAAAAAGAAGAAAAAGAAGAGAGGCGGAACGAAGAAAGAAACAGTCATTGGGGATTACTATTTGATTAAGCAACGTGTGAAGAAGAAGAAGAAGAAGAAGAAGAAGAAGAAGAAGAAGAAGAAGAAGGAAGGAGGAGGAGGAGGAGAAGAAGAAGAAGAAGAAGAAGAAGAAGAAGAAGAAGAAGAAGAAGGACGAGAGGGAGGGAACTGGTAGGAGAAAAGAATGAAGAGGAAGCGGAGTGAAGGGGTAAGATAAGTAGAAAGGAGGAGAGAATTACATTTGTAAGAAGGATGACTAAAAGAATGCTAGAGAAGTGGGGTGTTTATGGAAGAAGGAAGAAACGTTGAAGAACAAAGCAGGTGAAATGAAGAAAAGTAAAAGTAGTTAAAAAGAAAAAAAAGAGCGAAAAGCAAAAGGAAAGCTGTGGAAGGTATAATTATAAATAATGCAATGAAGAAAAAGAAAATTAATCAGGAGGAAGAAGGAGAAGGAGGGCGAGGAGGAGGAGGGGAGGAGGAGGATGAGAAGAAAGAGGTAGAGCACGAGGTCAAAGAGGGAAAGGATAGTGAAATGTAAACTAGACGAAAAATAATATGAATAGGGATGAGGAGAGAAAGAACAGAAGAAGACGACGACGAAGGAAGAATGATGAGGAGAAGGGAAGGGGTTGAAGAAGAATAGAGAAGGTGAAGAGTGAGGTAGAAGATAAAGAAACAGAGGGAGGAGGGAAAATGTAGGAGAATGAGGAGGAGGAGAATTAGAGTGGGGTTAAAGTGAAGTAGCAGATGAATAAAGAAAAAAACAAAAGAAAGTAAAGAAAGCAATGAATTTGAGATGAACCAAAATAAGAAAGATGCACCGCTTGAATAATAAAATAAAATAGTAAACAAAAACAGTGAGAGGGAGAGAGAATGTGTGTGAGAGAGAGGGAGGGAGAAAGATAAACGCTCACGACGTCAAAGCATCCGAGAAGATGGCCGGGAAAATGGGCGGTGCAACGAAAGAAAATCGACGTGAAAAAAATGCAACGGAGAATAGACGGCAAAAATGACATGCTGTTAAAAAAAACAGGGAAAAATAGCGAAAAAAAAATCCCTGTCGTGTAAAACGAAAGTAAATTGAAAATAGCCCCCCGAAAAAAAACAACAACAACAACGACAAAAAAAAAACTATTCTCAAGAATGACAGACAAAATAAAGACTAAAAATTATGAACGACCGGCTCACGTGCAATATTTCTTACATGTTATTTAATTCTTTTCTGTCCGTCAAGTCCGCAGGGCAGGTTGTTTTATTCATTGCAAGTTGCTGACAACACATGAATTGGCAAGCTTGCTGGCACAAGGAGATGCATTTCTTTCAAGGCCTTGCAATTATTCCGTCAAACAACTCCAGTGGCGCCGGTGTTGAGCCGGTCTTTTTTTTTAACACGCTTGAATTAGGAGATATGGACTGACATATATATATATATATATATATATATATATATATATATATAGATAGATAGATAGATAGATATATAGATATATATATATATATATGAATTAATAGATATATAATATGAGAAACAATCGATAGATATCGATAGAAAATAAGTATATAAAAATATGCACACATATACAGGTATATACGTAGATAAAAGATAAATAAGAAACCATTCAGATAGTTAGCAAGACTATATATATATATATATATATATATATATATATATATATATATATATATATATATGCATGTATGTATACAGATAGAGAGTGAGAGAAAAAGGAGAGACATATTGACATACAGGCAGAGCGTATTCGATTAAAACGATCTTAGATATGCTACGGATGAGAGAATATATTGAGCAAAAAATAGGAATATACCATAAAATAGATATATATGTCAAAGACTAAAATAGATAGATAGATAGATAGATAGATAGATAGATAGATGAAAATGTGATTAAATAACAGACAGATATCTATCTATCTATCTATCTATCTATCTATCTCTCTCTCTCTCTCTATATATATATATATATATATATATATATATATATATATATATATATATATATAAGTTACAGAAATCGTGACCGTAAGCCTTTTATAACTGATATAATTTTTACTTTTTTTTTACAGCGTGGTTCACTCTGTACAAGTCCCAGGAGCCACTCGAGGTACAGTGTTACTGAGTAAGAGGCTCAATATATGCGGATATGTGAAGAAGATAAGGGTTAACCCTAGACTTGGACAGGTTAATATTGTAGTTGTCGGTTCCACAGAGCAGTGGTTCGCAGGAAGAAGATTCTCGATTGGAAGTTATTTCCCATGAAAGGAATACTCGTGGAAAGACAATGGTTCGCTACAATTTGCGCAGCATGACAACTGCTAGATCGTGTAGAGTGGGACCAGTCGAACTTAGAAATGTAATTCGTCTGAGCACTTTCCGTAGAAGTATCAATATATTTTTGGTGTGAAATTTTTATTTTAGAAAGCATAAATACATGTTTAATTTTAAACAGTATATATATATATATATATATATATATATATATATATATATATATATATATATATATATATATATATATATAACACTTGTTAAATTCAAAGAAAATTTATTTAATTTGAAGTCCTCCTTTAGCCTCACATACAGCTTTAATACGTCTAGGAATGGAATCATACAGCTTCTTGGCTTCATCCAGAGGAATTTTCAGTCATTCTTCCATTAAAACCTTCTCCAGCCCTTTACGACACGACGGTGGACGATAGCGGCTCCTAACTCATCGCTCCAAAATGCGCCACAAATTTTCAGTAATATTGATATCTGGAGATTGGAGAGGCCACTCCATGTGTTCTAGCTCACTTTTATGCTCTTTATACCAATTCTTCACCACTCAAGCGGTATGTATTGGCGCATTGTCGTCTTGGAAGATGTAGTCACCATCAGGGAATAAAGTCTTTGCCATTGGATGAACATGATCTCCTAAAATGTTCAGGTAATCTTTGCTTTCTACCATACAGGGCAACTATTGTTCCGAGGTATTTCCATGATATGGCGGCCCAAACTATCACCGATCCACCTCCATGCTTCACTGTTGGAAGAAGGCAGTCAGGGTTGTAAGCTTCTTCGGACTGCCTTCACGCATAAACTCACCCTGAATTTGGGATAAGAGAAAAACTTGACTTGTTTGAGAATATGACTTGCTTCAATTGGTCTGCAGACCAGACACTGTGATCTCTGTACCACTTCAACGTCTTTTGAATGTTGCGAGTGGAGAGAAGAGGTTTCTTCACAGCGGCTCTTCCATGATAGGCAGCCTTATGGAGCTCATGGTGAACAGTTTTAGTAGAAACTGAACTATTCAGATGGTTATTCAACTCAGCAGTCACTTTAGCCGAATTTGTCCTATGATTTTTTGCCACATTGCACGTCAGTCCCTGTCAGTAAGTTTGTAAGTCCGGCCCGAATTGCTACCGTTGCTAGAGGTCTTGCCCTGTTTCTCGAATTGCATCAGTGTTCTTGATATGGTAGCTCTTGAAAAACCAAACAGTTCAGCAACATTAGTGATCGAGGCTCCTGTCATGCGAACTCTAACAATTTGCTCTTTTTCGAACTCGGAGAGGTCACGCATTTAGCATACATTTCACTAAATTCTACAAAAAAATAAGACGAAGACAGTAAATTAGATAACTAAACGTATTTACATTAGATATAACCTGCAATTACGATATTTTAGTTAAAGTTCTTAATGTAATAGGTCTTTGAAATATAGGAGTGGATATTGCAACTGTTCCAATTATTTTGTCCAACCCATATATATATATATATATATATATATATATATATATATATATATATATATATATATAACTATACTCGTTTCGAAAAAAACTTCGAATTTTGATTTGCCAATAATCAAATCAATCTCGAAGGACAAAAAGGTTTTAAAAAAAGAAAGAGCTAGAAACATGAAAGTCTGTCGAAAAAAAATCGCACAGATACAAGTTTGAAGCCCAAAGGAAAAACCCCGACACGAGTAAGCAACAAACTAACAAAAGAGTTCAATACACCCGTAGAGCAGACCTTTTTCTTTTTCTTTGGTCACGTGTTATGATTTTGATTATCGCCTATAAATATGCTATTTCTCTTTTGCCTCTTTAGCCAGCTTTCCCTGACGATCCGCTTAAGTGAAACCTGGGTAGGTTTGTAAAAATATTCTATATATCCAAGCACATCCAGGTATTCTATTAATCGTTACGCTGAAGGCACTGTGGAATAATGGATAGCGGCACGGAGAAATCCGGAGTGCCCAGTTCGAATTCCTGTGGAATTGTTTACATTCACTTACGTGCTAATATCCTTGGGAAAGGTATTAATCCTCTTCTTTTTTTGCACTAATCTGTCCTTACTCTTCTAAATGACTTACACAGGAATCGATGGAAATGCTTTCCAAAGAAATCGCCGAAGCAAATTGCTGACTGAATTGCCGAGATTAAACTAAAAATGACAACAATAATTATGTTTAGACTTATCACCAAGTAGATGATAGTCTGGCACAGGGTCAGTACCAGAAGGGTCCTCAATGACATTATGGCGAGTCTTGTTAATATTTACTCAAGGGTTAGACGGTTCGAAAGATATTTCCTATATTTAGATTAATACGTCAAAAGGTTTAATAGTCAGAGGCAACCACCTAGTGAGGATCGGACTTACTATATAGGCCAAAATATCTGCTGGAAAAAGTAACGGAAAGTCGCTCCAGACACGTTGCAAAAATAAAATTCCGCGCATCAATATCTTTACAAAATTTATCTCAATATTGAATGACGGAATCATTTCGTGGGGAACACAGTGAGAATTATACTCGCAGTAAGTGTAAAGTTCTATGCGATTTTAAGCTCGCAGAGCTGAGTTCGAATTCTAGTCGAATCCATTATATACTAAAACTATGCAACGTATGAATTCTCTTCTTCTCCACTCCTCCAGCTATGGGTAAATAGCAGGACAGACCGTGTTATATAGTCTTTGATAGCAACTGGTTTACCACTGAAAGAAATGGCAACATACTGCTGGAAAAAAATCTGCTTCGTCAGTTATGTATCGAAAGGCACATGATCGCCTAAGCATGTATCACGCATGGCACATAACTGGCTGATTAAACTTTAACAAGCACTTTTTGTAACAGAATCTCTAAATTTTCAGATATGTTTCTTTAGTGATGCGAATATATATATATATATATATATATATATATAGATAGATAGATAGATAGATAGATAGATAGATAGATAGATAGATAGATGGTATAAAACGTATATAAATATCAAATAAGCATTTCATTGACAAAGCTGAGGGAAGAGAGGTAATGTTAGAGAAGGAATAAATAAATGTTAATATAAATAATAATTTATATTTACAAACTAGAATCCCATTTGTCACACGCAAAATCTTGCAAATTCGTAAGTTGCTTTGTTCATCCATTCATGTTTTATTTTATTTTCTCGTTCTAAACTTCTTTTGAAAATGACAAACATCTTATTTTCTCTTGCGTTTTCCTTTTGTTTGTGAATTTTTTCATTTCATTCTAACTCCAACCTCGAGGAACGGCCTGACCTGACGTTATTGATGAAATACAAGAATAAATACAACATTGCAATTAGAAAATTGACAAGAGAAAATGCAGCACGTCGTCACGAAAAACGCGTCAGACGCTGCGACCAACATCGCTACAAGAAGTTTACACGAAATTCTATGTGGAACATGAAAGCACCGAGACACGTGAACAGTGATTCACGAAGCGTACCTCATTCTCGGGTAAAGCAATAACAAATATAAGAAGACTATGTTACATCTAATGTGAATCCATTGCTTGGTCTGGTGCTAAGAGTGTTGGTTCACTGTGTCGTGCGAGACAATTTTGCTCTCCAGATTCTATCTTGTATATCTATAAGTCTACCATTCGTCCATGCTTAGAATATTACTGCTACATATGGTTCGGTGCTCCTGCTATTTATCTTGATCTAATTAATAAGATCCAAAGAAGAATCAGCAACCCAGACTCTTTCTCGTAAGGTCGCCTCCTACGTCTGTTCTATAAATACTTTCATGGTAATTGTTCGGATGAGTTTCCAGACTATGGCACCTAGACTTTTTGAATTCAAGAGCTGTACTAGACTGATGCCAAAACTCATCTTTTTACAGTTGTGCTGACAAGATGTAACCGTAAATTCTATGCTGACAGTTTATTCTCTCGCACTTCTCGCTTGGGGACCTCTCTCCCGGCTCTGTTCTTCTCAGACATCTTTGATCTGCAAAACTTTAAATGCAATCTCAATCTACTGTCTTCATGATTATTCTTTCCTCTTCCCGATGATTATTAATGTTTCTCTTCCTAATTATTCCACTCCCTGTAACTCCTTGTGTCTTAGTGACTTTAAAGCCTTTCATGGGAGGGATACATATTAAAATAATCTCTTAATGAAGATTAACCTACTATGAGAATCAGAAATTTTTAAACGTTTTTTTTTTCAACACAATTATATTAAAATTTGGTTTGTAAAATGGTATAAAATGATTAGAAATCTTTTCTGTGCCAATATTTTTAAAGAGGTGCTTGCTTTCCTTTAAAATCAGCATCAGAGCATTCGATAATTACGACAAAAACTCTGAACTACTAAAAAACTTCTTTCATTTGGATGAGATATTAGCATGACCCAGAATTTATATTACGTACATATCACATACCGGTTCTTGTAGGATCTCTTAAGTTAAGCAACATCGATGTTGGT